TCAAATCAAGGTTTCTATCTTTAACCCCAAACGAGATAAACTCCGAACACACGCATGACAAGCGTGGGCAGATTAGTGGGACACAAGGCACTCATTCCAGACACAGTTTGGACTGCTTCACTGCCCGTGCCTTGGGTTGTTCGAGCTCCTCTACCTAACCCTCGCTACCTACAGGGCAGCCGCTAGCAAAACCTTGGACATGCCCGTTCTTCGACAGTGAGAACCTACCCAGGTGTCCGCAGGTGCAGGCTGAGGTTGAGGTGCCTTCACGTCTCATTCCCTGCACAAAGGCACGCAAGAAGCCAGCCGGCCATCATCTCTCTTGCGGGTAGGCTAAACGAGAGTCAAAAAGGGCAACGGAAAGGAACGAAACGAAGCGCCATTGGCCGGCCAAGGAGAGATCCATCTGCGGAGTACTTCTGCAACAGTGGGCTTCGATGACACTGGGCGCCGGCCAGTGGCTAGGTTTCATTTGCCTTTTTTTTCTTTCCCCCTTCATTTACAGATACGCTATGGTGTGTGTGATATGTGGGTGTGTGTGTGGCATGACGTGCGCCGTTCGTCTCATTCATTGCCCATCATTGTGTGCCTCCAGATTCAACACCACCGCGCAACGGGAGAACATAGCACTCAACGCTGTTTTCGGAGGCCCGGTGATAGGTAGGCAAGGGGGAGAAAGAGATGGAGAATCCAATGGCCTCTGGGTTCTCGCAGCTACGACCCGTTTGCACGCTGAGATGCGCCGTCCGTCCGCGCCCTCTACCCTTCGTGATAGGCCGACGCTGGAGATTTGTCTCGCCGCGGCCGCTATTGCAGCATGCACGCTTTCCCAACTAGGCTTGGCGTATTTGCAAGTTGCGAGCTGACAGCAGGGATATACCCTTGTCCCGCTGCCCCTGTACCGTGGAAACTCTGTAGATCAGATACGACATCAGAGGAAAGGTTTGGGTTGAATAATGATCGACATATCAGACAGATGCCCTTTTTTTTCTTCTCTCCCCCTCTCTCAGCGCGGACGGCATGATGTGATATCAAAGCATCCGCACTTCACAGGCAGAACCAATACATCATGATCGACTGCGCTCGACGGGTTATCCGGAATTTCCTGTCTCCCTGCGCTCGCAGCGGTGAGCCTCGAGAGGACGGCCAGACCGGCTTGACCACGTCGCCGTTACATCGACCATTCGGTAGCCTGGTCACTGATGTTGAGCTTCACCTGAGGCCGGGCTTGGCCGGCCCTCAGACCGATTGAGATGACATTTGGTGCCATGGCTTCACTCCAGTTGTTGAGGGGCTCATCTCACATGGCCTCCTGTCCTGGGCCGACTTGTTGAATTGCACGCCCCAGCTGTTGCGTTCATCACCACCACCACCATAACTCTAGTCGCAGATTGGTGCGGGGGTTTGACATCGTATCCTCGGCCGCCATCGCGGTGCAGAAAGGCGCCGTGAAACCACACCACCGGGACGGGTACGGAGCGGGAGCAATCTAATCATCTGCGCGGACTCTGCTACAGACTATTACCCCTCGACGATGCCTCGCGTGTTTCCCCAAGCAGCATCGGCATTCTGCTTCCTCGCGCAACCGCACTTGAGTGCACAGCACCTTGAACACAGTGATAAGACGACATTTTACCCTCTGGGATGCTGGTAGTCGCGCAACAGGTACTCCTGGATTTGCCATTCTTCCTGTGTACAAAATTTGATGCTCGTCGATCGACCCGAACCAATGCAGGCGGCGTTGCTCTAAGGCCTGCTAGCAAACAAGCTGGACTGGCCCGCCTTCGATCCTACCCGCGTCTTTCAACGGTCGCTGATATCGAGGCTGCTACAAACTGCCTTGGATGTATCCTCTGCATAGAGGCGCAGGTCATTTGGCTGGCCCGGTGGCAGATGCTTTCTTCAAGTCAATCGCCTAACCAACCAGGTCCGATATGCGACAGTTGCATCCACAGCCTTCTCCACGTAGTGCTCGGAGGGGCTGGGGGACAAATGGGTGTCCTTCAGTACGACGTCTGGTCCCGGAGCACGACGGCTGCCCAGACCGCGCAAGCGCTGTAGCCGCCGTAATGGTCAGACGGCGTGGAAGCCCTCCGAATTCCCAGAAAACGCCGCCGCGGGCAATATCTCACCGAAAGTTTGAGACGACTCTGCAGCCTCGTGGCATGACTGTGCTGCCGGCTCAAGTCTGTCCGCGATCCTTAGCAAAAAGAGCATCACTTGACGTTGCTGCAAGGGCTAGAAGCAGAATGTGGCAAAAGGTCGCCAGTAAGCTCTGCAGGCTCGTCACGAGACCGCGGCGCGGAAGATGCCATCTTGAGCCAGTTTGGATGTCCCCATGTGCGGTTCTTTGTGGGGGATCAGTCTCTTCTCTCGAGGGCCGCGGCGGGGCTCTTACGCCTGGCGATGCTTCGGCAACATCACGCACCATCGTCAGCTCACGACACTTGTCGTGGTCTGGGGCTGGGAGTTGGTAGCGGGAGGCGTAGGCCAATCTACCGCCGTTCGCGAAGAAAGGGTTCACCAGATCTCGAGGGGCGCGGGCGGGCGTTCAGAACAATGCGAGATCCCAGCGTTGTAAGCTACTGGCTGCCATACCAGAATGCTGGGACGAGAATCCAGACCGGCGGGACTGGTCATCCCAGCAAAAAGGCGGCGCGGCCCTGCGGCCAGTAGCTTGTGTTCAGTCCAACGCACCCTTTCCGTGTCCAATGGCCCTGCAGCCATGCCGTTCGAGGGCCTAGGCCCTGAAAGAGGCGGTGCTCGTCCAGCTAGGGCGTGTGCGTTGTGCGTTGTGTATGAATGATGATGTTGGCTTCTATGCCTGTGCGAGGCGTAAGGCGCCCGGGGCGAGGCCACGGTCCAAGAGCGCGGTGGTGTTTTGGGTAAGGCGAGAGTGAAGGTGCCAAGAGGAGACGACTGGCTCCCTTGCTCGTTATGCCCCATTGAGGAGGAAGAGAACAATAAAGAAAGGCAGGCGAGTAAACAAGGTTACAAACGGGTCTCATAGACAAGCTCATTGACCCGCGCAGCGGGTTTCGAGCGACGCCACGCCGCCGCCCCGACGACGGCTCGAGCTGGACGAATGCCACACCAGACGGCTTCAAGTTGCTCAAAGAGCTCTAGATGGACCCCAGAACCACGTGTGGCGAGAGTGCACAGGGGTCAAAGGCGCGACGGGGGAGGTTGAGTTGAGCAAAGGTCGGGCTAGCTCTGCGATGTGGCCCTGCGATATCGCCAGGTCGGAGATGGTGCCCGGTGCCGACAGCCCAGGCTTGCCAGATTCCGACGGATGCCAGATGAGGCAGAAGAATACCAATTACCGAGGCAAGAAAGGCACTGGTCTGGGGACAGGGTCGCGAGCGAGCGTAGAGCGGCCAGTCGGCAGCGACGGGATGCCGTTGCTGGAGCAGAGGTCAGCGAAGACGGCGAAGGCGAGGGCCGTTGTGGTGATCGCCACGAGTTGGAATCAATAGTCTCTTCCTCTGCATCCACCACCGAAGACAAAGACGGATCGCAGTGCGGGACGGACGGCCAGGCAGCGCTGTCCTGCTCTGTCCTGCGGGCACGGAGGGGGGAGACAGCAGCACACGGCGACGATCCGGAGGCGTCGAGAAGGAACGGACCCATGTTCGCTGGACCCGACCTACGCTGCTCGACATCGCCCAGCCCAATGACAGGCATCAGCAAATCGCGGCTGCCGTCGGGCTGGGCTGGCTTTTGGTTCGTGTCGTCGTCGTTCTCCAAGACCGCTGACGAGTGATCACTGAACTTGTCACTGAACTTGGCTTGGGGGGAGAGAGAGCACTGAGTGAGTGCATGGCACAGGGGTGCTGTCCCGGACGACAAGCCTTCCGAAATTAATTGCTGCGAGATGGTCGCCGACCACCTCCCCGAAGCAACCCCTCCCGTGGCGCCATGCACCAGCCCCCATTTCCATTTTCTGTATTCGTACGGGGTGCCTTTGCAGACTGATGAACAACAGCGGCCGGTCACTTGCACCCGTCAACCTCGCTAATCCTCTTCCCTGCTCCCTGCCCGCCGGAAAGATCAGCACGCCAACGCTGTCAATTGTTTCTTCTCGCAACCTATGCCGAGCTTTGATAGGAGCCTGGGGCGTGGGCTGGTCTTCCGCTCCCTCACTTCTTCTCTCTCCACCACCACCCTGACGGTAGCCAAGCAGAACGACGTCTGCCAGACGCGCTGCAGGGGCATCTTTGCAGCTAGTGATGTGCTGTTGCATCGAGCCCATGCCTCTTTGCGCCTTCGCGAGCGCCCTCGCGAGCGCCCTCGCCTTGTTAATCGCACTCCGTGACATTGGCCGATCGTGGTGATGCCTTCAGCTGTGGTGTTCTGCCTCCGTCATGGATTGTCGACAGTCCAACAGGGCTCCTACCGACCGCGTCCCCGCTACTCGGTCAGGCTGCCGCTACGACGCTGCTCTCCACGGCCGAACCCATTTGGTGGCTCAGAAACCCGGCGCCAATCTCGACAGGGTCGCACTGCATGGACCGTGGCAGGCCTGTCCTGTCTTCCCCATGTTCGTCCTATCGCTCGTTACGGGTGCGCCTACGGAGACAACTTCGATACAAGTCCCATATGCAGCTGCCTACGGCCGTACCAAACTACGTATATGCGCGCCGGCAACCACCACCCATGCTTGCCGCTTCTTGCTGAATCGTACCACGGTCTATCGTCACGGGAGCACAGTATCACATACGACACAGACCCTGAGGTGCCAGTGGTGGTGGACCAGATAACCTGGCCTGGACCACCTCCTCCCCCCTCCATGCCAATCGTCTCTGTCCTCGCTTATTGCGGAACTAGCTTCCGCCGCGGAAAGCTGTCTCGAGTCTTGAGCCTCATGAGCCTATGTGCGGGACATGCAGCGTGATCTCCTTTGACAGGGCTTCCGTGGGGTGAGTTGCTGGCAAGGCGGACTGCTCTGGCCAAATGGAGCAATCGTTTCGACGTCCGGCCTCGCCAAAAACCGTCCAGCGTCAAATCGTCGCAACCTCACTGCGCCATCCCCAGCCGCCTGGCACATCCTCGCCAAGTTGCTTCATACCCGAGGCTTCGCAGATCTCAATGGCGATACCTCTCACAGCCCTCACCTCGTCCGCCGTCGCCCCGTTGTTGAGAGCGCCTCGCAAATGGCCCTTGAGTTGTGGGTTGACCTGTCGTTGTCAGGATGATCCTAAACCCAGCGGCATCTGACTTACATCCTGGGGGATGAGCCCGGCAATGAGCACGTATGACGTTTCCACGGGGGACAGCACGTTGGTGTTGCTCAGAATATACCCATACATTAGCCGTGCCGTCAGGCCCAGGTCCTCCGTACCAGACCTGTCCAGCTGGCTCAGGATCCGTCTAGAAATCTTCCCGTAAATGTTGTTCCAGAATTGCTGCCCACGCTCGATGATCTTTGACGCGGGTGTAGCGTGGACATCTTGATGCCGCGCCGTGGGCGATACGGCGTTGATGTCACCGTCGCATGGCTCATCTAGGAGGTGCTCCGGTGTCGCCTTCTTCAATTCCATGAGCGAGTTTATTGCCTGACCAGCGTCAGCGAGTGCCCCCCTTCAACCTCTTTCTCAGGGATACCTTGGGTAGACCTCCAACGGAAGATGCTTTTACGAGGGCCTCTCTCAACTTCCTCGACATCATGAGCTGCTCGTCTGCTCCGGGTATATCATCACCAGGCCCGGCACCGTGTCTCATGACATGCCTGTAGACTTTGGGGATCTCGTCGGGACGATTGAGAACCATCAGGGTTGTTGCTGCGATAAAGTACCAGGAGTGCCTGGGGATGTGCGGCCGGCATCTTATAGAAGCCATCAGTGCTGGGGTAACAACAGGAGCAAATCCGGATGTCATGGTGGTGGTCATGATAAACGTTCAACTGCAAGCCATGAACCCAGGACCATCTTCAGCCGTCAATCACGCTCATGAGTGAAGGCCGGGAGAAAACGAAAGACCTGGTCCTATGATCCGTGATGCCTCACCTCAGTGTCGGGATCGGGGACGGTGATGTCGGGGTTCGGCAGACGGCTGGCCGATGTCCGGGGTTCATTGGATGGGGTCCGGTTCGGTCGGATCCATTGCCCGGGCCTTCCATCGGAATCGGCCTAAACTAGTTCCGAGCCTGCTGGCGAACCATCACGTGCTCAGCCTGGCACCTGCCGGGGTGTCCTGCGTCACTGCTCAGGTAATCCACAGCAGTTGAGTGGATGCTTGTCACTAACGTGGCATCTACTACGAGCTCCGACGCACCACGCCAACAGCGCAAACGGGACTCTCTCTGGCTTGCATCAACACCATGGGCACTTGAGGGCCGCCCTCATTTCAACATACAAATCCCGTGCTTTCAGCCCATCGAACGCGAAGATGAGGCTCGCGTGGTACGCAGGGGTAAGTCCCTCGTGCCGCTGGAGAGCTATCGAGCTTCGTTCGCATAGCTCCAGCCTCCAACTCCGCCTCTCGGACGACCAACGTGCTGACCCTCGACAGGTATCCACGGCCCTAGCGGCCACGGTCGTCGTCTCGGCCTTCCACCAACGAGCGAACTTTTACTCGGCCATGGTTTACCTCGCGCAGAGTAACTTTTGCTTGCTGGTTCGTCTTCCCGTGCAATCGCGAAGAAGCTCCGCTGACGTGTCCAGGTCCTGGTCAACTTCATCTACCTTATTTACGGCACCATGATTTACGGCCTGCAGCGACTACTGTACGGTCCGCTGCGACAAGTCGAGGTTGAGCAGCTTTCAGAAAGGGCGTGGTTCGCGATCACGGAAACATGCCTGGCGATGACAATCTTTCGCGAGGAGATTGGAGCATGGTTCCTCGTCATGTTCACCGCACTAGTGACAGGCAAGGTCTGGGGCTGGATTGGCGACGGACGTGTCGAGGTCCTCGAGCAGCAACCGCCCACGAACCCCGGCCTCTTCCACACCCGACTCAGCATCTCGCTTCTCCTGAGCTTAGTCTACGACATATGGCTTCTCCGATACACCGTCAACACGGTCATCCAACAAGCGCGACCCAACATGATGGTCATGTTCCTCTTCGAATTCGCCGTCTTGGCGACGTGCTCGGCACGAACCGGAATCCGCTACATGGTATCGGTGATGGAACAGAACATAATCAAGACGCAGACTAGACAGCGTCTGGAGGAGCGCCGAAGACAGGTCCGCGAGGAGCGCGAGGAGCTGCTTCGCCAGCGAGAGCACGACAACGGCGCAGGCGACGACGCGGATCTCCCTCGCGAGGAGGACGTTGACGAGATGGACATCGAGGTTCCGGGGTGGGAGGCCAAGGGCCAGTGGATTCTGATACTGGATCTGTTTGCTGGTAAGCCGGACGACTCCCGCTCCGCCGACATTACGCTAACCCTCTAGACTGCGTCAAACTCGCCATTTACCTGGTGTTCTTTGGAATCCTCCTGACCTTCTACGGCCTTCCGATCCACATCATGCGTGACCTCTTCATGACCGCTCGCTCCGTCATCAAGAGGGGCTCTGCTCTGTGGCGCTACCGCAAGGCCGTCGAAGACATGAACAAGTATCCCGATGCCACGCCGGAAGAGCTGTCGCGGGAGGACACGTGCATCGTCTGCCGCGAGGAGATGCGCCCCTGGGATCCCAGCGCTGGGGCGGTCGAACGAGTGCGCCCCAAGAAGCTCCCGTGCGGACATATTCTCCATTTTGGGTGTCTCAAGAGCTGGCTGGAACGTCAACAAGTCTGCCCTACCTGCAGGAGCCCCGTCGTCGTCAACAACAATGCTGCTGCACCACAGAACCGCGAGGCGGTTCTCGCCAGAATCGGGCTGGGCGGACTCGGAGCTGCGCCCGCGGCCCCCGCCGGTCAGCAACCACCTGCGGACAACGCGCCAGCCGCCCCGGGCGGACAGCCTGCGCAGCAAGCCCCGAGAAACGGTGCCGCCCGGGTGTTCCAGCTCGGTCCGCTCCGCCTCGGGTTCGCTCAGGGCGAGAACATGCAGCAGCTGGCCCAGCAGATGGGCGTCCCGCCAGAGGCTATCCCGACGCCCCTCGGCCAAGGAGCCCCAGCCGGCCCCTTCACCCCAGCCGCGCAGACGCCGGGAGCTAACAACATGTCGGCAATACGCGGGCAGATTCAGCACCTCGAGCAAATGATCCAACGTGAGGTCCAGTCTCTTCAGCACATGCACCAAGAGCTGCAGACGCTCCAGCTTCTCACGGCGGAGCTGGGCCGCATCCGCCAGCTCCAGCAGCAGCAGGAACAGGCGCAAAACATGCTGCCCAACACTGGCGCGGCTCCCGTCGTCAACATCGGAGCGACTCAACTGCCGCTCCCGACGATGCCAATGACGCAGGTTCCGATCCACCCAACACTACGGGTGAACGGGCCTGTCGTAACGAGACACGGGGCTCCCAACCACTCCAACGCGATACCCGCTGGCAGCGCCGAGCTCCCGGAGGGCGTCGTCATCCCTCCCGGATGGTCTCTTCTGCCTCTCCAGCGACTTGACGGCACGGCCGCATCTTATGCCCCCCAGCCGTTCCCCGAGTCGGCACCCTCTGCATCAGGCGAGACGAGCACTTCGGAAGTCCCTGCATCCACACAACAATCAACCACCACAGCGCAAGCTCCGGAGACGAGCAGCCCGGCTGCACAGACTGCCGCCACCTTCACCGAGCCTCGGCAAGAAAGTGTGCCCGGCTCCAGCGCGTCTACGGGGCGATCAGAGCCGCCCCCCGTCATCGCTCCGAACCCGGTGCTCCCAAACTGGGGCGGTGCCAACCAATTGTTTGGCAACGGCCGCGGGCTGTCGGGCCTGGGCAATCCGGCGCCATCCGAGTCTTCGGCCGACGAAAGGCGAGATGAGCCCGCCAGCAGGAGCTCGGAGACGGCCGCGGCAAGGGAGGAGAGTGCGGAGGACGAGCACAAGGGCAAGGGCAAAGCTGTCACGGTCGAGGAGGCCGAGGACGATGAGTAAACGATGCGGGACAGTAGGCATAGTCAGCGGCGTTCGGGCGGATCTGGCCTTGGTGTAAAAATCATACCACTTTTGTAGGAATACTAGCGCATGTTTTATGCAAAACAACAAGAATGACCAACTGTTGACCTGGAGATGTGGTAGGTACGTGGTCCATTAGACATCATGACTGCTACGCGCGCCGCTGTGGTTGGACATGATGGAATATGTACCCCTCGCTACTCCTGCGCCCAATCCCCCAGTCGTCTCAACACTATACTCGTCGCTAAACATGCCAGTTGCTATAGTACAGCACAGCCAGCAGCTCCTCGCCTGCGCACCACCGCTCAACGCTTCACGCAAGATCAATGCTGCTCGATTAGACATTAGACGGGACAGCTCACGGTTCATCACCCACCAGCTCATGTGTCGAGCACGTCGCGCTCCTGTTCCGTGGGCAGTGCGGGCGTCTCCCTCAACGCCACGTCTTCGCCCTTCTCCCAGGCGGCGCCCGGGCCCTGATAAGACGGTTCCGGAATGGCAGACGACGACGACACGGTGCCGGGGGTCCGGGCTGCTGTCGAGTGATCCGTCTCACCACCAATATTGCGCACAATGCTCGAGGCAACGCCGCCTTTTACCGGCTGCGGGCTGAGCACCACCCCTCCAGAAGACTGCGCAACATAAGTAGGTGAAAAAATACCCTCAGAGCCGAACGGCAAGGGGCGTGTTGGGATCTCGCGACTCACACCCTCGGGACCTCCTTCACCACCAAGCTTCTTCAGCAAAGCCTCAGACTGCTGCTTAGCCAGTTTCTGGAGCTGAACTGCTGGGTCCTTTTGTATCCGCGGCACGTTAGTCACATCACAAAGACAGTCTGCGGGGGTCCACCGAATTCCATGTACACATACCCAGTCAGACTGCGGCGGTACGCCATGGGCGGCCGGCAGCTCCTCCTCGTCGTCGCCTTCGCTGGCACCAGGGCCGCCACCGCCCCAGAACTTTGGCCGGCGAATCGGCGCGGGAGTGACTGGAAGACTTGGTCGGTCGACTACGCTGGGGAAGTCGGTGAGCTTGAGCCCGTGCTCCTTTGCCACCTTCGCAACAGGTGTGCCGCCCAGCGACCCTTGGCTCCTCCCACGACGATGCTTCTGAAGACCCTCGACATAGCGCTCGATCTCGGGCACTTCGTCCCAGGCATTGGTACGTGTGAAGGCGTTCCAAGGATCCGACGTGGCAACTCTGATGGTCGGGGTGGCTGGGGTGCTGGGCTCGCTCTTTTGGCCAGTCGTCGATGATCCTATAAGAGACGGCTCAGCAAGAGCCTGGAATGCGGATGACGCCGTTTTCTCACCAGTTGTTGTGCTCGAGGGCTCCTCGGCCGATGGCGATGCCAGTTCCCCGGTAAAGATGCGGGTCGGTTTGGGCTGGTTCACCTCCCAGGGGAAGATGGGTCGCGGCTTCTGCGTCGGCGGCGCAGGCTTCTCCTTGGGGACCTCGTACCACATGTTGCGCGGCGGGCTCGGGTATCGTTCGGGAGGCACAAACGGAGCGGTATCCTGAGACATTTCATACACCTGCGACGGG